GGGGGAAAGATTTTAGTACTTTTGAAAAAGTGGTGTTATGAAGTAGTAAAATGTGAACCGTGTAATCTTCACATGTCACCTGCTTTGTTCTCAGAAAATTGATGACATCCTTGGCTCCAGCATCTCCAAAAACAAGATCCTGTTCTAGTTGCCCGAGTTCTCGAAGACCCGTTTCTCGAATAATTTTGTTAATTTTTCCAGCTATCTGAATGAACGTAAGAATAAGCAGGAGAGATAAGTACTATTAATACTACCTTCCTTTGTCAAAGTCTAAAAAGCTTTAAAGGGAGTTGGAGAAAGAAACATGCAAATACCTCTACATGGAGAGAGATCTTCTCAACTTGTTCAGTGTATTGTGGCAAAGCCTGAACCATTTTTTGCAAGTCCCGGGTCGTTAGTTCGTTACCATCTCTGCATGAGAAACATAAGCAAGTAGGGTATTTTTCCTACTCTAGAATTCTCATAGGAAATAACTTTAAATTTAAATCTAGCCATCTAATTACCTCTTTACTTATGTACAATGTCACACAAGATTTGTGCTAACGAAATCTTTCTCTATCAGATTTAACTACAACATACTGTAACTATTAAATACCAACCTTGCACTCTGTTGAAGTTGTGCAGCTTTGTTCTTGGATACAAAGTTGGTCATCTTGTCATGCAATCTTTCACTAGCCTGACGTTTCGGTCAGTCGTATATAAAAAATCAATATACATATATATATATATATATATGACATATTGAATAAATAATCCATTTTTTAGCCAAAAACAAAAAGAAAAAAAAATATTAACAGCAAAAAACATACATCTGCTATGTGTGCATGTCGAAGTTCAAGCCAGATTGGATCATGGTCTTCTAAGAGGACCTCTTTTCTCTCAGGCTTTCCACCCGTTTTACTAGGAACCTAATATATATCATGTGTTATCCTTATATGTAACATGTACATATACATCATTACAGGAGAAAAGAAAAGAATTGAAAAAAAAAAGGCAGATGATAAAAACATTATGCATGAACACATACCTCAAAGACGTATTTGTTTCCATCCATATCTAATAAATCACGACACATGGCATCATAAGTCCATTCATGTATGATAGGAGCAATCTACTCGCACAAGTCCAGCACATTATATACAGAGTCAAAATTAAAGAGATAGCCGAGAAAAGGACATAATATTCATTGATTAGTAAAGTACTAAATATAGAGTCTAACTGTTTCACAATCTTTTGACATGTTTCCTCGGCATCTCATATATATTTTGTCAGAAGAAGTTATTATTAAGTTTATATATATATATATATATTTTTTCCGAAATTAAGGTGACACATGTCAAAAGGAGAAAACAATGTTTGTAATAGGGTCTGCATTTAGCACTCCCCCGTATTCGTATAAGGGAACTGATGGATAACCTGATCAATAGATCTATCCAATATAAGAAGCTCGCACGTTTCAGTCTGTGGGAAGTTTGGAACAGTAGATTTGTACTTTGAAATACAGTTCCAAACTGCAGAAGCAAGTTTTGTTGGAATTGAATCACGAAGTGTTGTCGCCGCAGATTCATCAACCGCCTTGGCAGCGCGATACCTCACACATGGAAGCTCCTATCAAAATAAAAAAATGTCAAATTTCATAATCATTTGTACTATATTGAAATCAAGCAGGGTTTGATATGAAGGAAAAGGTCAGTTTGAAATAGTTTGAGCAAAGATTGGCCCGGATAGAACACGTATACCTTCAATGAAGCGAAAACCGTGGCAATTCGATTCGCCATTGTGTTCAGGCAGGCATCGAATTTTCGAGCATTCTCAACATCACCAAAGAGGTCTTCCAATGCTCTTTCATGATCAGTTATGAAAGCCTGTAATGAAAGAGTTTTTGTGCAAGAAATCATCCATCTAAATAAAATTGATATAGCTAAGGTCAGATCTCTTTCAAACATCTGTTGAAAGCTACCATTCTTGTGTAGTTTTTGGGAAAGTTTAGTACTGTATTATAGTGACTTAGATTGTGTCACAAGATAAAATATCGTGCTTTGAGACACGACAGATTACTAAGATGAGAGAGATATAATCAAGTACCTGACTGTCTATGGGAAAATACTCCAAATTCATCTGCAAATTACCAATCAGAAGATCAAACCACAAAAACTGTATGAAAAAAAAGACTAGTTACATATATAGCAAATCATAGAATTTAATGCAAACCAATGGAAATTTTTACCTCTCTCAATGCTCCAATGCGGGGTAATACACTTGTGTCACACTTGATGTGATTCACAAGTTCCTTTGGAACGGGGGAACTAAAAAACACAAATGCTCTGAAACCCATAAAGGAAAAAAAAAAGAAAAAGAAAAGAAATGGATGTCAAAACAGAATAAAAATTATAATAAGAACATTGCTGATTTAACCGATGAAAGCTAGAAGTATGAAAATTGAGAAAACCAAATCCTCATGTCATCATACTTTCTGTATAAAGGCTCTCTTCCGGACATGTCGGACAAGAACATGACAACACTGCATACTAGCAAGAAACAGGGTTAAAGTGATCCATAACTCACAAAAGATTCTCAATTAAGTGGAACAAAAAACTAAGGATCCAATCATAAACTCATGGGTGAGACACGACTCCGAAATGAGTTGTAAACGCTTAGGTTTCAAAATCGAGTCTTACTAGAAGGAATTGTGGACTTTTCGACTAATGAGGCTTACGACTATGACTTGTTTCATTAGTCTTTTATTGCTTTTAGGTTGCTAAAAAAATTTATTTGACGAGAACAAGGTTATAAAACTGCATAAAAAACCTCTTCATTTACTCCTAGAACAATAATAAACTAATTAGTAGGAAAAAAAAGGAATATTGTACTTTTCTTTATATGGCTGAATAAAATAAATAGCATCCATGGACGGCAATGGCTCTCTTCTCCGGAAAAGATCTTCCACCACTGAAATAACGCAGAATTTCTCTAGCAAATTACCAACTCATAAAAAAAACAAAATTTGAAGTTTGAAAAAAAAAAAAGTAAAAAGGAAAAGACGATAAATATGATATATTGGCTTACGTGAAATTCCTTGGTCTGTTATATCTGCCATTTTACATGAATGAGACATGACTTTTACCGTAACTTTATCCATTATGAGTACCTACATATACGAAATATATATAAACAACTTGGAAAAAAAAAAAAAAAACGGTGAAAACACCTCTCCGGAGGAAAAAAAATAAAAAAAATTTAGTCACACCTTCCAGGATTTCGATTCCCCAGTTTTAGTTGATCCAAGCATTTCGTATAATAATCCTACAAATATATCGGATCCAAAACACGATGAGCACATAAGAGATGGAAAATCAACCAATTTTCTCACGCATTCTCCCGGGAACCAAACAGAAACATGCAAAGTGAAATTATAATAGAGTGAAAGAGAGATAGATGAGGTATCTTACTGTCACGGCTGGTTTTAAGGAAAATCTTGTACTCGGAGGCTCTTCCATGGGAGGAGGAGTCGGAATCTGAAAACGACATTATTGTGAATACGTTTCAAACTGAAGATGTGAAGTTGAAGAAATTCAAAACGTTTGAAGAGAGAGAGAGAGAGGAGAGAGGAGAGAGTTTGGGGTTGGAGTTGGGGAGGAGGGATGAGAAAGGAAGGGAAGCAATGGAGGAGATGGTCGTATAACGCGGGAAACGTGTAAATAGGAACGTCATCTCAGCTGCTTGCATGCAAATGTGTCCAATAATATATTACGACCAAGAGTTTTTTTTTTTTTTTTTTTTTTTATAACAAAAATAAAAAAATAAAAAAAATAAAAAATAAAAATCAGAATAAGTCGTTAATTTAGGGGAAAAATGAGCCTTGCTATTAGGCTCCATATTTTATCCACTTTGCACAGCACCCAGTGACGGAGTCAGGATTTTATTTTATGAGGCATAAATTAAAAACGTGAAAAATGTTAAAAATCCTTAAAATATCAACTCTTTATAGTACAAACTAGTTAGAAGTATTTGTTATGCATATACATATTTAGTTGTTGAAGAGTTTAATTTGTTTTTTAATTTATCATTCTCTTCAGTCCGGTTCGAGTCTTTTAAGACAATAAGTATAACGCACAAACGTAAAATAGAAGAACACAAAGGAAATGATATCGTGGTTCGGTAGCACCCTACTCCGCGGGGCCACGCCTAGTTGATGAACAATCCACTAAAAATTCTTTTACAATTCAATTGGTCTTAATCTACTCGAGACTCCCTCTCTAAGAAGACGCTTATGAACTTGCAATTTTCCCAATGGACTTAAACAACGAGACCCCCTCGACTTTTAGTATTGGAATCCCTCCAACAAAGTTTATCACTTAAAAACACTCAAATCATCTCTCTTAAATACAAGTGCTCACCTCTCATACAACCCAGCAAAAACTTATCAAAAGGAGTACAATGAACCGAGAGACTCTTTGAATAAATAGGCAGAAGGAAAACAGCTCGACGACCTCTTCAAAATAAGTCGCTGAATCAAATCTTTTGCAGATTCTTGTTGCAACAATAACTGCAACATAGCTGTCATGGTCGACTTTTTCCAATCCAGTCCGTATAAATTTCCTTTCTGCTGAAACCTTCCCAAAATTGTAATATGAACGTGGACACATTCTTAGGAAACAAAGGGAGATCATAAAGCTACGAAATCTCCATCAAAGATCAATCAAATCAACCTACCATCCTTGGATCAAAAGTTGACTTTCAAAAGTAGAAACTAAAATAAGTTTCCAGATCTTTCAGAAAACTTCCATAAAGATCTTGCCAGCTGCACATCTAATCTTAAACCCAATTAATCAGCCAATCATTTCCAAAATAATGCCAATCACAAAACAAAGAGAATCAATACAAAGTTCGGGAAACAAATCAATATAAAATTCGGGAAACAAATGCCAACAATCTCCCCCTTTGGCATTGTTTTGGCAAAACTAAACAAAAAAAACTAAAGCAAAATAATTTTTGTAAAGTCAACCATTATAAATCAAACCTAAGACAAACTCCCCCTAAACTTGAAAACACTCCCCCTGAACTTAAAAGCTACCACTACTACTCCCCCTTTTTGACAAAAAGAATGGCCAAAGTAAACAACGGTCAGTGGGCAGTATGGAAGGATGATGTAGAACCTTGTGTAGGAGAAGGAACGGGAGAAGTTGAAGAAGAAGCTGGATGTAAGGAAGCCAGCAATGCCAGAAGCTCTGTCTCTTTAGCAAAAAGATGAAGTTGGTCCTCAGCGAGCTTCAATTTTTGGAGCCGAACCTGCTGTAACTCAGAAGAAAGAAACTTGAAGATTCAGGTTTGATCACCTGTTGCAGACTTTGTTGCAACATCAGGTGCAACAGGTGAGGAGGCAGCTTGCTCCCCCTTGATGTCATCTATGTGTTCTCCTTTCAGCAGCTTTGGTGAAATCTTCATAGGGGCTCGAGGTTGGACACTTGAGTCTGTGTCTTCAATGAGGTTGGCTTTTTGTGAAGTGAGAATTGCATGGATTAAGCATGGAAAGGGAAGTATTCTTGTACTCACCAGAGCGTTGGCATACGAAACGATTACTTCAAAGATGTGCCTGCCCATATAAAAAACAATACCTGTACCCAAGAGATATAATAACAATGCCAAATCTCTTGTGAATGTGGTAGGATGCAACGAGGGAAGCCAGTTTGCTAGAGCAATTTTGTGCAGTACTGAATATTTGACAGTGAGCTCTGCAGATCTAAGAAGTCTAGACCATTTGATATTTTTTCCTGTGAGTTCTGATGCAACAAGATTCATATCCTCACTTCTATCCAGTTCCCTGGCCCTGTCAGACTTAAGGTTTGGACAACCCAAATAATTGTTGATAATCGATGGAGAAAAATGACAAACATGATTTCTCACATAAATGAGACAAAACCGTGGGGACTTAGGACTAGCAATTTTTGGATCCAGATTAGCATAGAATTCATAGATGAGAGTACTCGAGTAAGAACTAGTCTTAGAGATTGTACCTATCATCTTAGTTGCAGTGAGTTTTTCTAAAACAGATTCTTGAATCTCCTTATAGTTACCCCAATTTATACATCTCTCAGACAAAATCTTCCTTCCACAGATCAAATTCCATGTTTCTTTGTTTTTCTCAGAATAAAATTACTTGAAAAAAGCTTTTGAGAGAACGTACCGACCGGTAGAACGTGTATTCTTTGTTGCAAATGGTGTTGCAACAGGTTCTCCAACAGGGGATTTTAACTTCTTTCGAGTGGAATGTGTGTGGACTTGCTTTATTTTTGAAGCGTGGGTCCTTGTAGATTTTGTCTTCTTCTTTGGAGAATCAGACTTGGTGGGAACATATTTTTTAGCAAAAGTCTTCTTGGCGGGAAGGACTTTTTCAACAAAGATCTTCTTTTGCTTTTTGACTTCCACTTGTTATGGATTTGACGTTGGAACTTGTGGGTTTAGAGTGCTTCGTGTGAATCTAACCCGTTTCTGAACTGGCGCTCCATCTTTGAAAAGACGCCTCTTCCTTATCGAAGGAGCAGAAGAACTAGAGGGTGCGGTTTCTCTTTTGAATGAAACTTGCTGAAATGGAGAAGATGATCCCCTAGGAGACTCCATTTTCACAGCAAAGATTGGTTCAAAGACCACAATTGCCTTTGACAAAGAAATTCCCTCGTGATGAGGATAAAAAATTGCAATCAGTTCCGGGAAAAAAGACTCTTGAGATTGTGAAGATGGCGGCGAAGACGAAGACGACGACGGTGTTGACATGTGAAAGGGTGGCGTACTTACATCGGATTCGGTAGAGCGAGAAGAGGATGATTGAGCTTTGTGAAATCTTCCACGGTGGCGAAGTTTCTCCATGGTAGAAACAGAATCACAAGGCGGCAGCAGAGAAACGGCAAAAAGAAGAAATAATTTTAAGGAGAACCAAATGAAGAAAGGTCAGGGCAAACTTTTTACAGCAACCTTTTTAAACCAAACACTTTGATAATTGAATTTAAGGGAGATACCGAATAAAATCACTCTTATTAGGAAAAATTGAGATTTGGTTTTTTTTTTTATTTTTATTTTTTATTTAAGGAAAATACTATGAATTAGATCTATTTAGAGCAATATTCACTCAAAGTTATGTTCAAATATCAAATATGTACCATTTGGAATTTCTCAACATATTAAAAAAAAAAATGAACCAAGTGTGTGTAAGGATTTCACAAAATTCATCTTTGAACATTTATCTTAGCATTCTAATATCTGGACATGACATAGCCTGTTCAAACTTACCTGTTCATCTAATCATCTTGCAAGATTTTTTTTGGGGCCTTTCACTCTAGCACCAAGGTAGCTCTTTCTCATGGTAGATCGTCCTCTACAAATTGGTAATACATAGGCCTAGATTACTTAAGGATAGCTTCACACAAGATGTAGGTAGCTTTTCCCCTTTTTTATTATATAAGATTACCTGCATATTTTCTTTCTAAATCTAGGATGATTAGAATCCAAGAATGGAGATTAATCCCAAGTCACAGAAAATTCAAAATCCATTAATTATTACGCTTAAAATTAGTGTTCTAGATAATATGCCGTGAATTCGTGCAAAGATGACCATGGTTCGCATAAGAATTTTAAAATATTGAGAAAATCAAATTCCAAATTATCAAACTGAACATAACAGATCATGAATTATACTCACAGAACACATAAACCCAGAGCTTTTCTCATAGACTTGTACTTTACTGCCTCAAGAGCCTTGGTAAAAATGTCAGCCAGTTGTTTCTCTGTTGCAACATAGTCAAGAACAATTATTTTTTTATCAACCAAATCTCGAATAAAATGATATCGAATATCAATGTGTTTTGTTCTAGAGTGCTATACAAGATTCTTTGAAATGTTTATTGTACTCGTATTATCACAATAAACACTTAAAGTCTCTTGTAGAATACCATAATCTTTAAGCATTTATTTCATCCATAATAATTGTGTACAACAACTTCCTGCCACTATGTATTCTGCCTCTGCCGTGGATAGGGAGATTGAATTTTGTTTCTTGCTGTACCATGAAACCATGTTGTTTCCTAAAAAGAAACATCTGCCAGTTGTGCTTTTTCTATCATCTGCATTTCCAGCCCAATCCGCATTACTATAACCTGCAAGATTATAATTTGTGTCCTTTGAATACCAAATGCCGTAATTTGCTGTCCCTTTCACATATCCAATGATCCTTTTTACTGCTATCAAATGAGATTCCTTTGGGTATGCCTGGTACCTAGCACACATACCAACACTGAAACAAATATCAGGTATACTTACTGTGAGATGGAGTAGACTACCAATCATGCACCTGTAAAGACTAAGATCAACTGAAACTCCTCATTCATCCTTGATTAATTTAACTGTGGAACCCATTGGAGCTTTCATATCTTTGGTTTTGTCTAGACCGAAACGCTTTACTAGGTTGTTTGCATATTTTGATTGTGAGATAAAAATCCCATCATGCTCTTGTTTCACCTACAATCTTAGAAAGTAAG